ACTGGAACCTGGGGTTGTTCCTGCCCAGATGCAGGACTCTACACTTTCCCTTGTTATATTTCATCCAGTTATTCCCTGCCCAACTCTCCAGCCTGTCCAGGTCTCGCTGGATGGCAGCACAGCCTTCTGGCGTGTCAGCCACTCCTCCCAGCTTAGTGTCATCAGCAAACTTGCTGATAGTACACTCAATTCCCTCATCTAAATCATTGATGAATATATTAAATAATACCGGTCCCAGTACTAAATATAATTTGACTGCAGAAGTAGTCAGTGATGTACCCAAGTATTTTAACCCTTCTTGTGTAAGGTGCTTTGAATGGGGCAAAAGTCTTACCCAACATAAGAGTCGGCACACCTGCTGAGTATTAAGAATAACTTTTCAGTGTGTTCTTTAGAAGATGGACCGATCTCTAGAATTAATGATCTTGGTTGTAATCGAGTGCTCATTCTTCCTTCAGTCTCAAAGAATCTACAAGGAACTTCTGCTAACAGATAACAAGGCCCTGAACTGCATAACATATATGTCTATGATATTTGGTTTCCTAAGCACAGAACTCAGGGACACAACCCATGTCTGTTCTTCTGGGGTAAAAATGGTGTTTGTCACTTAAGTCCAGGTCCTTCATGTGTTGTCTCTGAACATGCTGCAGTATGTGGAGTTCAGTATTACGTTATCAAACTTGTTTAGAAAATACTTCTTTTGAAATTAGCTCTTGTGTGGAGTCAAGGGATTCAGCCTAGTTGGAGCATTTCCTCCCCTGGGTAAATCTTTGGTAAATTTACATTTCACTGTGATCCCCTCTGACGAGGGCTACCCCCATTTGGAACAGGCCTTGGATTTACAGGCAGTCAAATGCCAGCAATATGTGTCTTCTCTCTAAGGTGAATTTAGGTTGAATTCCAGAGGAAAGTAGAAATTTCCTACTTCCAGGTTTTCTAGCTGTTTTCCTTCCTAATCTGTCATATTTTTTAGAGTTAGTATCCTGTAATACAGATGTGCTCTGTAGGCATGGGAGACTTCAGGGAGAGGTTTGGCTGCCCACTAGAGCTGCTGGCGTGTTTGCTGGAAAGAGTAGAATTACAGCCGCTGCGGTGGAGCTGCTGGAGGGAGGTTTGTGGTGGTGTCAGCGATGCAGCTTCAGATGCATGTGCGCTCTGTAATTGTGGAATAAAAATGACAAAGGGAGAGGAGGGCCTGCTAATTACTAATAGCAATGTAAGTTACTGTGTGTGCAGAGATCCTAAAGGTAATTTTCTATCTGTATTTTTCCTTTGGAATCTTTCTGTTGAACATATTCATTATAAATATAAGCACAGACTTTTGTTCTGAACCTAAACTCTCAGTATCATTTGAAAGCAGTTTTGTTTTCTGGATTCCTTAGAGGTATAACTGGTGTTTAAAGCGTGGTTTCTAAGCATGGCTTCTAGCTTTGCTGCCTGACAGTAATAGGGCGGGAGGGAAAAATCTAGGGGAAAGTATGTTTTAAGTGTTCAAATTTAGAGCCTTACAATGCTTTGGAAAGTGAGACTTAACATGTTGCTCTCTCTTAACTGTTATTACCCTGATTTGCAGAAGGCTACAAATATCACATTCCCCAATGTGTTAATGTGTTTTAAATAAAGCACTGACATGGCTGGCAGCATGTTTCAGCATTTGTCTGATCTCTTCCCTAAATAATGTCTGTCTCAGAAACTCTGTGAGGATAAATTAATATGGTAGAGAATATTGTGGGTCACTAAAAGTGTGGGATTTTACAGTTATGTAGGTAAGTAGGTACCTGTGTCATATTCTTACAATAAATTTGAAAGCGGAATTGGAGGACTTTTTAGTCTGTTTTCCAAAGGAATGATGCTTATGCTTCTTTTTAACTCCCTGACAAATGTGGTCAAAGTATATATAGGAAGCCAGGTTTTATTAGTCCTGTTGCTCACAGAGTAACTTGTGGGGCATTTAGAGTAGAAGCTGATTTTTTTTTTCTCATTTTAGATTCACGGTACTCTTGCATAAACTTTGATCTCGATCAGAGTGGTGAACACTTAGGATGGCAATAAGGAAAAAGGTGTATTGTTCAAGACTTTCCATGGTAGTTTGTGGATAGCACTGTATATTTTAATTTCAGAGAGAGGTTTTCACCAGAAGAAAGATCACAGGTTGTGCATTGGTCTCATCCAGTAGCAGCTCTACTCTCTGAACAGAAGATGTTTCACGAAGATCTGGCTCATTTCTACTTCCCCTATAATCTTGTGTGCTTACTACAATCTTTACACACTTACTTCTCATGCAGTGTAAGGCCCTGTGCAATTTTTCTGTGGCTCTGAGCTTACAGATTCATCACCTCTGCTCAAGACAGGTTTCTGGTCATGCTTTGCTCCCAGCTACTGAAATTGTTTCCCTCTATTTGAGATGAATTCTAACTTTTCCCCAAAGGCACCTAGATTTTCTATTCTATAAACCTGTCCTAAGTTACATTAACTGTTTCCTTAATGAAGTCTCCTACACCTGAAAGGTATTTCACTGTGTATGCTTTGCACAAGATGGTTCAAGTTCCAGTATAATGCAAGTGTTTCAGTTAACGATCCTCTTCTTCCCTATCCAGATTCTTAAACTGGTTATTGCAGATGATGGATGTTTTTATGGATGCTTTGCCTGGTGTTGTGCGGCTGAACCTAGCAGTACCAATTCAAGCATACAAAGATGCAGTCATTCTTTTCTTTTCTCTTGCAGTGCAATTTTCCAGGGAACCAGGATGGCTAGAAGGCACGCTAAATGGCAAGAGAGGACTTATTCCACAAAACTATGTTCAGTTTTTATAGCTTTGTGCATTGAACGAGAAGAAGGTGTACATGGTATCCATGGATTTTTGTTATAGTCACTTCTCCCTATTTTTGTGACTGCTTTTAATCAACAAAGAGCCTGACTATGGGTTGAAGGTCCTGATCTGTATAAAGACATTAAGTGTTGCCAAATATAAATTACGAGAAAAGACTTCTTAAGGGTTGGAATGGGTGGGGGGACAAGAATGGGGGATGGAGGGATGGGTTAATTTTCTATTAGGGTGCTTTTTCTCCATTGTAAAGAGCAGTAGTGGTACATTTGTTTGCAAGATGCCTAGCATTGTAAGTCGAATATTTGGTTGATTGTGACTCAACTGTCAGTATGAGAAGATTTTATAAACTTAGTGTCATCATAACAATCAGACTGGTTTGGGTTGAAAGGGACTTTAAAATCTCATCTAGTTCCAACTATGATTATAGTTGGAACTATATACATTATGATTAATGTCTAATCTAAATCTCCCCTCTGTCAGTTTAAAGCCATTCCCCCTTGTCCTGTCACTACATGGCCTTGTAAAAAGTCCCTCTCCGGCTTTCTTGTAGGCCTCCTTTACGTGTTGGAAGGGTGCTGTAAGGTCTCCCCTGAGCCTTCTGGAAATATTCATAAAAAATCAGCATTTTCAACATAATATTATTTGGGGTTGGAAAATACTGTTGGATGAAAAAAAAAGCTATCATGCTGACAAATTATATTTCAAAGGAGAAGAGATGGTCTGGAACAGACACCAGTAAATAAAATAATAGCTATCAAGACATGACATTTTTCAAATGTCTTCAAAGAACACATTTGTTTATGTTGTGTGTATGTTTTCATTTATTTTATAAAGATAAGGCACATGAACTTTTCTTACAGGCTCCTATATGTCATGGTTCCTTTGCTACTCAAAAATATCACTGTAAATGAAATAAAATGTTATTTGCTCTTTGACCTAAGTCATTCCTATGTTGGAGGATATTTTGCTCTAGCTCTGTTTTGATGTGAAATAATTATTGGCAGCTTTACATAGTCAGCCTCAAGCAGGTTCCAAAATGGATGGGGAACTTTTACTTTAAATAGGCAACTCTGCGAGTTCAAGCCAAAACCAAAAGTGAATCTCTGGCTGCGGGCCTTGTGCATCCTGGAGGCATCTTGTGTTTTATCTGTTGTCTGTCTGTCTAACTCCTCCTTGAGCTCCCCTTTCTTCCTCCCCTGTAACTGTCAATTATAAGATCCTAATGATGCTTCATAGTATCAGAATCCTCAAGTAACTGCCTCTTCATTTGTAGAACTATTTGAGTAGTAAGAGAGTTATCTGTGGTCTTAGAAAAAGCTTCCAGAAATCTTGTGGTGTATAAATCTGTGTCTTGTGATTAAAAAGAAAGAAACAAGTTCTTTTCCTCAAGTTAAGACCTTCTGGGAGGCAGTGGAGAGGATGCAGGAAAATATGACATGCTTATGCAGGCTCGCTTATTTCTTAAATTGGACTCTGTGGATTTGGAGTCATTTACTGCAAATATACTTAGCTTGCAAGTTTTTCTAACTAATGTGATTAGTAACCCAGTTAATGGTTAATACTGCCTTAAGGCTGAGATGGCTTTTTTCCCCCTGTAAATTCAACTCCATACCATTATTTTGTTCCTTTGCCCAGACTGCACAGACCATTGCAGTATGCACAAATCACTTCCAGATGGAGGAATGGTATGCCAAACCAGTGCAGCTCTCCAGCACTAAACCTCAGAGCTCTGAGGAGTTCCATTTGGTGTATTCTGCTGGTATGTGGGCAGTGACTCTGCCATACAGCTTTTAGGCAGTTCTTGTCTTGGCATAGTGTCTTTGTGACCCACGCACTGAAGATGACTTTTGGACTTCTCTGAAGAAGATCACGTTCTTTAATTTACTCCTTGACTCAGTAGTAAGGAAATAGTTGCACCAGTACATACAGCAACAGATTGCAGTTTCCTTACTCAGACTTGTTCATATGGCAAGGTACTGTGCTGGCTGCGGGTTGTCACGTTGGCCCATCTCTCCATCAGCTCATTTGTGTCCTTGAAGAGTCACTCTGAAGGCAGAATGGTGTGGCCGGGATGTGTGGCCAGACTCAATTTTCTGTGGAAAACATTGACAGAGGGAGAATGTAAATCTTTGGTACGAGCCAAGTGAGGGCGCGGCAGTGGGGTATGCTGTAGTAACTTGCAGTTCACAAGCTTTTGAAGTTGCTTCCATTTATTTCGTTGTTTTAAAACATGTTTGCATGTTTGATCTTGTCCTGGCTGTGGTCTTCCAAAACTCTCAATGTATTTCTCAGCTGTGGCACTGGGGTTGTTTTTTTTCTTTTTAACTGAGGTGGTTTAAAAAGGCAGATAGAGAAGGAATAAAAGACTTGGTGTCTCTTCCATCTGGTCCTGTGACCTTTTTTGTCTTTAGGTGAGATGTTTGGAGACTCCCATTACTTTTGGAGCCAAGCAGAACCCAAACAAGAGGAAAACTTTTCTACTGAGCAGTGATACACTGAACAGAGGTAATACTAATCCAAACTTCCTCATGTCCTAGATGTTGTCCGAAGGCAATGGTGTGAGCTGAGCCAGATTAGGTCTGGCTTTTGGGCTGACCACACTGCCTCTTGGGAATTTAGCTGTGGTAATTGCTGCTGTCCATAGGGCTTTCCACATCAGCCTGGTCATAGTGAGACTGAGTATAGACTTGTACAGCTGAGCAGCTGTGGCACCTCTCCTTCTTCATCTGTGCTGAACAGTGCTGTAAACAATGCCCTCCTACTGCCTGGTTGGAAGTAGAGGTTAAAGGAATCTGAAAGTTAAGAATCAGATTAAAAAGTCAGGCCCCTCTCCCATCCTTCAAGATTGTTTTTTTGTTTTCCTGAACCTGGGCTTTAGGGCATGTCTTTTGTCTGTCTGTTTCATGGCTTGGTAGAGTTGGGAAAAGCAGTGTAACACACTGTTAACTTGAGGCAGGAGGGAGGACAGGGAATCAGTTGTGAAAAAGCTGGTTAAAGGGATTTGCTGTTTTGGCCTGGAAGCAGGAGTGATTATTCTCTGCAAGCGTGGCCTGACTCTGTCCTCTTGTGGGGAACTGCTCTCATGTCACAGCTATGAGTATAGGTCCAGCTTGATCCTCAGATTGGGCTCCCCCTCCCTTGCTACGTGCTGGTTACTGTGCATAGGAGGATGTACTTGTCACTTTTCAAAAGCTGAGACTCCTGGTAGGGAATGCGTGACACAGGCTGAAAATTAGAGGGAAGGAATTAGAAAAACACAAACCAAAACCAAACATTTTGTGTTTGTTATGCAAAATGATGTTTGTGTTGCTTTCACTATGGGGCCAGAGACTGAATCCCACTGCCTGGGGATTACAGTCTAATATGTGTTTGCCGCATAATTAATGGCAAAGATGAGGCTCCTGACTAGCTGGGATCAGTGGGAATTTGCAGTTTGCGTTAGTCACTGGACAGTGAGCAGCTCTGCACCTTGGCTGGGCAGCATTTTCACTCTGCTGGGTGAAAACCCTGGGGGTTTTAAGCTGCTGAATGTTGCCAGTTATTTTTCCAGCTGATCTTCATGGCAGATTTCCTTCTGATGGCCAGATTTATCTACCCTGTAATAGAAGTAAAAGTGTTCCTGCTCCACTGCTTACAATTTTTCTAACTGGGCTTCTGTAACTGTAGCACAGAAAAGGCATGGGGAGAAACTTGGAACAGATATTCTCATTCTCTTAGCTAGCCCATTTTACATTCTTACCTGGTTTGCAATTTAAAGAGTTGCTGACAGAGGGCTTGTGTAGGCTGCAAATGCACCAGTGCTAAACATGGGTTAACTGGAAGTCATCACTGGAGTTTCACCTTTGAAGCTGAATGTGCCTTGAGGACATATCTTCTGCTCCAGACTTCAAGAGTGTGCCCTCATCTGTGCCTGTAGGAACCACAGGTAAGCTCCAAATACACTTTGTCCTCTCACTATCTATCTGCAATTAAAGTGCTTGTTTTAAAACCTTATGGCATGGCCTGTTGTACCTAGCAAAACCTTTGAAATGGTGTTTCTCCCCTCTTGTATCTCAGTAGTACTGTATTCATCATAAACTCCCAGTCACTGTAGATACCTGAAAGAAAGCAGTGTCCCAGCTTGAGGTCAGAGTACAAGTTTTATTATGCTTTTAAGTAGTGATAGCATTTTCTTATTTCTAGAACAGCATATGACAGACACATCTGCTTGTAAACATACGGGATGTTTTTCTTAACACTGCTGATTCTCTGCTATTCTTTCCTTCTGACAATTCAGCAAACAGAAGGCAGGTGTGAGGACTTTTGGCAATAAAGTTTGTGGAACTTGTTATTAAAAAAACAAAACACAATTAAATGGTGGTCTTTGTTACATGAGAGAGTGAGCTGCATGCAGAACTCAATGGGGAATTTTTGAGACGGAGAGTGCACAGAACAAACCAGGGTTTTATCTCCCCTTGTATCTTGTAATTACGATTGGAAAAGACCTGACCCTCAAAAGGCAGGTTCCTTTAGTCACTGGGGAAACCTTGTGTCTATCATCATAGACTGGTTTGGGTTGGAAGGGACCTTAAGGATCATACAGTTCCAACCCCTCTACCAGAGAGGCAGGGCCACCTGCCGTTAGACCAGGTTGCTTAAAGTCCTGTCCAACCTGGCCTTGAACACTTTCAGGGATAGGGCAGCTACAGCTTCTCTGGGCAACCTCTGACAGTGTCTCACCACCCACATAGTGAAAAATTTCTTCCTAATAAATATCTAATTCACTGTAAAATAGCAAGTCCCTATTTCCATGAGAAAAATTCCACCTCTGGTCAGTCAGTGCAGCAGCTCCAGGTTAATAGAAACTGGAAGCCAGATGGGTCTGGCTGCAAAAGGGTGCTGGGTTCATTTCTTTGTGCAGGATGGAGCTTGTGAATGTAACTGTGTCAGCACTTCATTTGTCAGTTGCAGTTGCCCAGGCTAAGTGAGCCAAATTACTCATTGTTGGACATTCCTTATGGTTCGTGTAAGTAGCTGCTTTCTGGCTCAAGCCATCCTATTTGCTGCATCTTCCACATTCATAGAGCTTGATGAAACCAAATTTCTAGATGCATGAAGGAAGATGTCCTATTACACTGTTGGTTTATGTTACTTAGACTTGTTTCTAGATGAGCAGAGGCTAATCTCTAAGGACATCACTGCACCAGCACCTATCTGAGATTAAAATGCAAGAAATACTTGCAATCAAACCAGTTTAATTCATGTATATTTGTACAATTTGTATAAAAAAGAAAAAAAAATAGGTACTTGCAGACATTAACATAAAGACCAAACAGTATTTTCTATTTATTTAAAAAGCTTTAAACATACAGAAGCAAATCCCTAATTATAAATGCATCATTATGCATAGATTTTACTGTTTACACCATACTGCTGGCTGCTTTTCTTTTTCATCCAGGAATCTATTTAAACTCCAAGAATTCTTAAACATTCCTCTGAGCTTCCTGGCCTCAGAACTGCTGTCTATCAATCATCTTATCAAGTCATTGACCTCCAGCTGAAAACATTGCTCTAAAAAAAGAAAGAGTCAAATCTTTAATAAACAATTAAAAGTGCATTAACTGTAGAATTGTTTAATTTCATAAATGTTTAAACAAGTCAGTGAAAAACACCACCCTGTGAATTAGCTTTTTGCATTATTGATTGTAAAGTTACTTTTTTAATAAGATTCTGCTATTGCAAACCGTAGTCTCTTCTAGTTTACTCTGCGCAACCACTGAGTCGCACACCGTGTAGTATTCCTGAAATACCCACTGCAGAACATTTAACACTATTTTACATTTTTAACTGTGTATACAATCCGCTTGCTCCATATCCCTGTTCCTTCTTAACACCAAAATAATTCAGCTCAATGAACAGAAGCCCACTCCTAAAAGGTCTTTTAGGTTATGTCTTGTATTTTGCAGGAGACAAATGCCTATTTCACTCTAAACAAATGCAAAAGAAGGGAACTTTCCCTGGCAGCTAAAAACTAGGGTTGTTGGTTTCTTTCTTTTTCTTTGCTGTACACAGGTTTAGATAAAAAAAGTGATGGCTATTCTGCTTAAGTGTCCTTGCTAAGAGAATACTGCCTCTTACAACATCTATATCCAATTATATCTATTATTTCAATGATCTCTTGCAAAAAATAATAATCAATGAATGGTTTCATAAACAACAGGTGATTAAAGTAAAGGATTTATTATAATCTGCTTACAGTTGTTTGCAAAGACAGACATAACGTTTTTGCATAAAGATATAAATTGCTTTTTAAAACTAATTTAGTGTGTTTAATTATATGAAGTTTCTGTGAATTATGAATTGTACCAAACCAAGATTAAAAGTAATAAGGTACAAAAATAGGAGCAAACAGACAACAATTTGGACTGGGACAGGCATTTAACAGTGAAGTGTAGAATATGGCTTTGCTAGTTTAATCAAGCAAAGTTACTCTGAGACAGAAAAGGAGGCAGTAACTTTGTTAATATAAAAAGCTGCTGCAGACTGTATTCACCCAGAACCTGGCTTTGAGATTTCCTATTTTAGACTTTTTAAAAAAAAACGTAAATGAAAAGATGGATGTAGTAGGACTGTGTCTTTACTGTAAACAACTAGTCTGCATGCTGTGTATCTCACGTTGGAAGTTTGGCTTTCATATTGCTGTGCAGGTCAGTATTGAAAGATCTGCCTATGAATTAGACTTCCAAAATGCAAATAATATGTGTATGCATATATTTATATATAAAAAAGTCTCTCTGAATACAGTCTTTACAGATTCCCCATTGCATAAGGCAGGTGTCATTTAAAAAGACAATTAGCACTGACTGGCTTCAGTGCACTAAAGCGCACCTCAGAATTTGGACTCGGAAAGGGTGTAGAATTCTGCATTCAACCACCTTTTGAAAGAAATGCTACATTCTGACCAGCCAGAGGACAAACTAGTGCTCCAATATACCAGTGGCACCCAGAGAGAACACTACAGGACTGTGAAAAACTGTTATCGTTAAACATGAGCATATGGTAGCAACAGTTGAGCCTCAGAAAAGTTCACCTGTCCTCTATTCTACTCCAAAATTTTGTATTTGCTTATAAATTGTGAAACAATGAAAATCACCTCAAAAAGTTGGTTTTTTCTTTGCAGTCTTACTCTAGAGAAAACGTTTTTGAGACAAAATCAGACTGAGTTGAACTTGTAGTGTGAACATTTGTCTTCTCAGATGTATTCTGATTATTACAAAAACACTTACAAAATTACATGCGGTTTTAGTTTATCACTAAAAATTCCACTCAGCTTGCCTGCCCTTAGCAGCACCTTACCACCCCCCTCACCAGGACAAATCTGTTCCGTATACTTACTTACTGTAATGATCTGCATGTTCCCTTCGTCATAATCAGAAATTGCTCTCCCCCCATCTGAAATAATAATCTGACCTTTTAAGATGCCTAATGTATCCAGTATTCAAAGGAAAACCAAACAATCTGGGAAGCCTTAATAAAAAAAGAGAAATCATTCAACATCTTATTCACCCCTGTTCCCCTGAGAGAGAAAGGGAACTGAGGGCAAGAACTCACTATATCATTAAGCTGGCAAAAGCTTTGGAGAGACTGTAATTTGTCTTGTTAAATGAAACCTTGGTAAAATGGCAAACACAACAGAGTGTAGTTTCCTACAGAAATATGAAGCAGGAGTTTGAAGATGTGCTCGAGTCACATACTCTTGCAAGCGAGACGAAAGGGAGAAAAATATAGAGGGGAAATAGAAAGGCTTAAATACAACTGAAAAGGTTAAGTGTGGTTATTTACAACAGATACTGTAGGATGGTAAATTAGATATGATGCTAAAAAAGGCACAGCTTTCCCTTTCTTAAATACACTGTAAACGGTTCATTATGCATGCAGAACATTTCACTTTACAAAAAAATTACCTTGTTTGTTTAGACAAAGATAGTACTTAAATAGTCTCCAGCAAAATAGAGTTCTTTCAAAAATACTTTCCCATTCATCCTATTAACCATTAAAGAGTTTTTTTTGTCTCATTTACAAAAGTTCCTTACACCTTATTTCAGGTCCTTCACAATTTATACATACAGCAATGTACAGTACAGCAAAAGACTGCAAAAAATTATTTGTAAAGCCAGCACAATAGATACTATAAATTGATACCAGGGCATTTGTTTTCGCATCTCATCCTTTGTAATTAAATAGTAAATGGACACTTAACACAGTGTATAGCATCTATGATGGGATAACATGAGATAACAAATGCCGCAGGTGGGGATAACAGAGTATTCCACACCAAATGTTCTGTTTTTACTTTACACATTAGGGTTTGTGTGTGTGTATATATGTGTGTATATATATAGGTTTTGTTTTTGTCTTTTTTTCTTTTTTTTTTTTTAACAAGAAAAGAATATTAATGCCCCATATTGACTTTACGTTTTATGTGCAAACCAAGGGTAAGCTTTAAAAAGTTCTCATTAGTTCTTGAACCCTTTTAAAACAAGCAAACAATACCAGAAACTACATGGCATATTTAAAACTCCATCTGTTAAAATATCAAAATCAAAGAGTTATTGACTAGATATGGCTTTTCATCCAGAGGAACAGGAACATTTTCTAAGTGTTTTAGGGTTATGGGGTAATTTCCAAGCATCTAGGTCTTGCCAAATCCAAACATCTAGGTCTTGCCAAATCTTGCTTTCCATTCCCCAAACCCTTTGTATGATTTAGACTATTCAGAGACTGCTGAACAAGTGTAAATAGCATGTTTAAAATATGGTTTCTTGGGTCCTTCATGGGTGTGGAATAACACAGGGAAACTTAAGGCAAAGTTCTTCCATTTAAGACATTTTCTATCACTTCCTGTGAAAGTACAGGGGCTTGGCATTCCCAGATTCCACCTTTGGTAGCTGGTCACTGATGATTTCCACCAACATGGCTGGAAACTCTACTTTCAGTGCCTGAGACTCTCGGAAGGTGTAGAAGCAGAATTCCAATAAGTCACTAACGAGCTGAAAAACACAGAGAGAAACACTCCTTAGGAAAAACACAGACAATTTTGCATGCTTATTGATAATGGACTATTAGCGAGAAATGGCATCTTTCTTACTCTGGGCAGTCCATTTGCAGGGGTTAAAAAGCAAACAAGAGAACTCAAATCCCAAAGTGCTACTTAGGTCATTAAAAATCAACTAACTAGGAAAACCCAAGATACCACAGATTTCATTTTTCAGCGTAACTGCACTTCTTATTTCACTAACAGGCAACTGGCCACCATGGAGACTACTGCTACTCAATGTCTATAAAAATGAAGTCTTCTGCCCAGAGGGAAAAGAGCAGCCATGAACTATTGTATCTCTAATTCTCAGCTGGATACACACATTCATTCAATCAGATTATCTGGTTAACTTCAGTGCACTCTCCAAGGGTTGCAACCTACAACTGCCACAGCAGCTGATGGTTTTAGCTCAACAACAGGCTTCTGTGTCACGCTGTAGCATTTCGGGTTTTAGAGCATCAAAGGCCTTATGAAACTGTTGATCTGGTAAGGCATTTCTATATAAAGGCTTTATTTTTTTAAATACACCCCCCACCCCCAGCTTTATTCTGCTTATTACTCATTAAAATATAGAATAGTTAAAGGAAGTATCTCTTTTTGAAAAAAAACCAACAACCAAACCCGAAATTCTCCATTTCCACAGTGGTGCCTAACAGCAGTTTTGCTTTCTCTCAGTGGATTAAGCATGATCCTGAGGATTTTAAAGGCAAAAATTTCTATTTAGCTTCTCAATGACGTGAGCAGGAAGCTTTGTTCTGCAACACCACAAGCACCGTCCACTGCACCATGGCCCTCCTTTGGCTTCCTCTGGGTGGCAGAGGTGGTCATGGTGAAACCGTATCTCAGTTCTCCCAAATGGCAACTGACAGCCATTTTGTTATCCTAACACATGTGGTCTCCAGCTGTGACAGGGATGCAAGCTGAAGGACAAAATGGCATGCGGGTACCAGGAGCTTTTTGCTAAGTGGGGAAAAAAATACCATGTGTCTTCTAATCACTAATGAATTTAGTCTGACTTGTTCTACCTTTTCTCGAGTTGTGGTGGTCTCATTTGTCATTACAGAGCTTCACTGTAGTCTACATGTTACGGGAAACTTAATCACACTACAAGAATGAACACTTATTTTTGCTTTTGATCATTTCATTTGGTTTTGTCTCTTGTGCTATTTTCTCGACACAAAATTCTAAACTGCAGCTTATCTTTGCTATAGAACAACATGCCATTAGAGTGAGAGAACTGTGAAGACAAGAAGACCTCTTCCAGCATCACTGCTTGGGGTTAATAAGTGGATCATGATAAACAGATGTCCCATCCCTGGCAGTGTTCAAGGCTAGACTGGACGGGCTTTGAGCAACTTGGTCTAGTGGAAGGTATCCCTGCCCATGGCAGGGGGGTTAGAACTGTATGATCTTTAAGGTCCCTTCTCACCCAAGCCATTCTATGATTCTATAAAAAATGCTAAAAGCGTGGCAAAGGAAGCTGAAGGCTTGACCTACATGCAGGTAGGCTTCTGCTGGGTTAGTTTTACATACAGTACCTTGATACAATCAAGGAGTACTTGTTCATGACCTTTAGTAGCAAAAGAATGTTATTTCAAAAATAGTTTTTGTTGCTCTGATCTAAATAAATGCTCTAAAGCCTCACCGTATGCTGGACCCTCTGCAGTTTTTAAGAAAGACACCAGAAGAGGCAAGTCAGCTTCTGAAGCACCTATGAATGAAGTGTGTCTGGGTTTCCATTAGTGTATGAATTTCCACTGCAGTTCACCAAATTACTGCACTGTACAACTGAACTAAAACTAGAGCCTGTGCTATTTAAACATTCAAACATTTGGTGCCTTATGCCCTTGCAGAGGACTTTTAGACCACTTCTGCTTTTGTAGTTTATCAAACACAAGGTTTTTGTTTCAGTTCTTAATGTGTAGAGTTGCATTCTGAAGTAAAGCAGTTAGTTAAATAAAAAGTGGACATCTGGAAGGCAGAAAAGGAAATAAGAGGCAGCAACAGACTACCACCCTGTAGCACTGTATCTTACTACTTATTTTTCAGGACTTTCACAGCTGTTCTTGCAAGCATACAAGCAATTTATGAACAAGACAGAGAAGTGCTGAGATCTCTCACACACTGCTCTCTGCTACTGAGTACTACATGAGCCTGTTTGCTGTTGCTTAGTTCATTCACGACCTGGCATGTCACAGAGCAATACTAGTTAAAACAGATGCACGCTAAGTAGCACAGCCATAATTTGGTTTACAAGAGGGGAAAAAATACTGATGTTCCAAGGTCCACTTTAACCAGTAGGAGGAAGTTGTTTCTGCATATACTGTATGCCAAAAACATTCCAAATGTAACACAAAAGCAACCAAAGAGAAGGAAACTGTCTCTTGGTAAAATCACTACTAACCTCCTTCCTGCTTGTGTCATCAAATACCAGCACCTAAGCAAACTGAGCCTTGCTCCCCAGTACAGCCTTGACAGTGACCTGGTGAACATACTACTTTTCCTGAACTTGAACACAAGCTATTTTGCATCACTGAATGTGAGTGAGGGGCTTGGGATCATCTCTGTCAGCCCACCAACCGGCCTCACTGTGCTGCCTGCTCACCTTCTCTTCTAGTCAAGCTCATTCCTGCCTCATCACACTTATGTTGAAGCCACTGAGTGCAGCTAGATAGGTATTGCAGAAAAGCCCACATGGGAACTATTCATTCTGTCACCTTAGCAAGCTTTTATTAGCATCACGTGCATATGTGTGCCTAGTGAGTATGTGGACAAAAGGGGAAATGAAAAATACCAACACTGCTGAAGGGAGCATAATCTACTCTATACAATAAAGGCATTAGCAGTCCAGTGGGGGAAACACAGGATGTGGTCATAGATACTATCATAACACAGCACACTCTGAGTCGCACCACCGAGGAGAAAGGTTAAGTTTACACAACCATTTAAAAGAAAATACCAAGAGCCCCCCTCCATCATGTAATACTTGGGTTTAGAGCCGTAAGAATAATATACTTTGTATACCTATTTAGTCTGCTAAAACTTTTGTGCCTCTCTTCCTTAAGCAAAGTTATCAACTTTAACATATTTGGCAATAATCAGCCACATCAAGAAAACGGGATTATCAGGAAGCACACCCCCTGTGTCACAATGAACAAGGGACTGCAGTCGGGATCTTTTTAACTGCAACCTTAAGAGCTGTGTGCCTTTTGGGGCTGGGGAGGAACTTCTAGCACTAACTGGAACCAAAGAGGAATCAAAGACCAACTCAGAGGTACTAAAATGTAACCAACATGATAAGGTCAGCTAGAGAAGGCTACAAGACTGCGAACTGAGCCGCGAGCAGGGCTCTCCTCTGCAAGCGAGTCCTCGTGCATTTTCAAAGGTACCACTCCTGACTACATCTTAGACTGCTTTTACTCTCTGCTTCTGGTAGCTCATACTGGACCTGCTGACACCTTCTCCAGTATGGTAGTGTGAGAGGCAGCTCTAATTGGGTAGCATGAAGGAGAGCACCACTGTTTTCACAAGCAGTGCAACAGTGACTAAAAACATATTTACTTTTACAATCTCCAATTATTTCGGCTGCTGAAGCTCTCTTCTGAAGAGCTACAGCTTGGCAGAGCAGACAGTGCAGTTAAGGCCAGAACTGAAATAATTCCCATTTCCTCAGGATGCAACCAGGACATTGTTCTTACCGCTTTAGAAGGTAGTTGTTCAATTCTCTTCAGAGCTGGCAATAAACCACGGCTCAGTACCTCTGACAGCATTGTAAGCCTCCCTCTACATGCAGGACAATCAGGCCAGTATGAGCAGGGTTGCAGACACACAGGTCAGAATTATCACATCCGTGTTACCCAGACTGCTGTAAGACATGACAGCTCTTCTGCTGGCAAGTGGATCAGCTGTTAGCTATAACCCTTCACCACTTCAGCCATTATGAAGCTTTCTCTCATCACTACCCTACAGTGTGCTGCGTTTAAACATTTCCAAGGCTACAGCAGGCTTAGTAATTCTGAGATTTTGACTTAATCAATCTTTGCATTTGTATGCTTTATTAAGCACCTCTGAGGAACAGAAGCATTAATCAAACATCATTTTCTGTTATTAGGGTGGGGTTTCCATAAAATGGTCTTTTTTCACCCATGCAGTTCTCCATAATTAAAAAAATGAATCCTTTCATGAAGTCCCTGAAGTTAATGCAGTTACAATGACCTTCAAGCACTTGCAGAATTTTACAGCAAAAATAATGTCTTTTGAGCTTGGCACTCTCACCGTGCCCTTGCATTTCCAGTAAGAACTGTCTGATCTTCAGGGGTGCACAGTTCTGTATGCTTAGTTTTCTGACTTCAGACTCTCTCCCAGCCTCAGAATGTGGTATGAAAGCCCACAGCCACTTCTCAATCATCAGGAGCATCTTTGTGATTAAGCCCACTGATACAGCAACAGAGCACTAGAGTAACAACTCAGTGCTGAGTAATTTCTTCCTCTTACTAGCTACAGCTATTACTGTCAGGAGCCTCTTGTGTTCTCATACGAAAGTGACACTGGAAACTTTCTCTGTCCCTTTTAGGAATGGTTATCTACCTGTTTCCTATAAAGTACAGCGCAGATGTGCGTTGGGTGGAGGCAACCTTGCAGCTCTACATGATGCAACTGCACATCCAGGCTCCCTGAAAGGACAGGCTGCTGAGCAGCAGTATTCTGACTCTTGCTTTCAAAACTTGCCCATTTCAAACTGCGCAGGAGTCAGTCTGCTGCCCTGCTAAGGTAAAGAACAACAGCCAAGGCCAGCCAGCCTCCTTTCCCCCAGGCAGCAAAGAGCCCTGGGTGAGTGTGGAACTACTGCAACTTCATGCTTTTCCCCATTCACACAGTGGATACAAAGCTCCTGCTTCACAACTGGTGAGCCTAAGGAAAACCACTGCCAGCCAGGTCTTGATTAGTCCATTG